GGAGAGCCACAAGGCACAGAAGAGTACCTGGAGACTCTTGCTTTTCCCAAAGGAAAAGCTGCCCAGGAGCGTTTTTTTTGAGGCAATATAGTTTCCCCGGAGATTGCCACAGGTTCATTTTTGAATGTTTCCTTCTATTATTTTCGCTGTGCAGGAGATGTGGAAACAAGCTGTCCGAAACCGGGAGCCGAAGTCAATGCCAGCACCAGTTGGCAAAGCTGCAGCTGGGCCTCCACCAAAGGGCCCGCTGGGACAGGCTGCTAAGGCTGCTAAGGCGAAGCCTTTGTCACCAACCCCAAAGGGCAAGGAGGCGCCTCCAAAACGCGCAGCTTCAGAAAGACAAGCAGCTTCGGGACAAGAAGAACCTTTCACCTTCAGGATGGTTCTTTGCAGATAGATGTCAGATGGAGTATTTGTTTTAAGCGTGGATGCTTGCAGGACAGCAGATGGCAAAGAGGTTCGAATTAACCCACCTCCTCCCAAGCCGAGTTCGCCACCTTTGGGTTGGAGGTGGGTCTTGTTGTTTGACCAGCTGGTTTTGTTTGTTGGTTTGTTGTATGGCGCAGATACATCTGCGAGCCACCTCCGCCTTGTTGGCCTGGGCCTCATATTCCACCTGTCACCCAGAAGATGAAAGAAACATTTTTTTTGGTTCTCAGGACACAGCCATGGACTTGGTGAGAGATGCCAGGGCTTGCGTGTTAGAGGGCTAGATGACGACGTGCGATGCAGTGGAAAAATGCAATCTGTGAGGGGGCATGCGCGTAAATGAGGTTGATCAGCTGTTTGCATGCATGCTGCTCTATTTTTCGGAATGCCTGCAGCATGCCTGCAGCATGCCTGCAGCATGCCTGCAGCATACACAGAAGGTCGATTGCAAGTGCCACCTGTGAGGTCATGAGCGATCATGTGTGAGCCTGGCCCTTGGTGACTTTTTAGGTCTTTTTCTTTGGTTGAGTTGTGCCGTCCAGGTTGAATGCCAAAGGACTTTGCCGGGGCCTCAGAAACGTGAAACGACCAAACGTGAAATAACCAAACATGAAAACCAATTCGTGTAGGAATGATTACCATGCATGCATGAAAGTTCATGTCATTTCATTACATGTTACCGAGTTTCATGTTCTGTTTTTTCAATGTAACGCATGAGAGGGACACAGGCATACATGACACATGAAACAGCATGCATGCATGACCACGAAACCATGCATGCATGAGACTGAAACGTCATCCATGCATGAAAACGAAGCCATGCATGCATGAAACGGCCACGCAGACATGTTTTTTCCCATGCATGCATGTACAAGCATGAAGTTAAACCATATGGTCTTGTCAATCTGCATGTTTTCAGGAAATGGCGCAGGAGCAGTACTTCTTCCAGTGCCCCAATGCTGTTTCTGTCAGGGGTGTAGGCAATGCTTTCAGGGTTTCACCTTCCCAATTTAACTGCAGCTGGCTAGCCCAAAATGCCTCGGCAACTTAAGCAGTTGCAAGCGGCTCCCGACTTGGTAGAGCAATACCGCAATGCGTTCAACAAAGAGCCACGGTTGAAAGAGGCCAGGGGCACAGATTTGTTTACTGAAGGTCATTGAAGAATTTCAAGACAGATGTGTTTATATGGAGGTGGGTTTTTCCTTCATCACTGCCCACTCCGAGCAGTTGTTCAATCCCAAAAAGGAGGCTACATTGAAAGATGTAGCTTTGAATCCGGAGGCCGCATGGGTTTAGACATGTACATGCATGACTTCTTTGTTACTGTGCAGCCAAGATTGAGTTTTAACTTTGAAAATGCTCGTTGCTTTGCAGGTGGTATTTGCCATCATGAGCGTCAGTCCCCACGAACTTCGTCTGAGCGACGAGACAATTGCCAAGGCCATAGTGGACTTCTACAAGTCGAGCAACTTGTTGCCACCTGGGATCAGTGTTTCAGCTTTGTCAGATTGGGCTGGCAAAATGGCCCACGGAGCCAGGAAGGTGACTGGAAAATTCAGACGCCTCTATGCTGCGACGCCTGAGAACTCCAAGGACCCAGCACTGAGAGATTTGAAATTTCGGTGCCAGGAAGCTGGCATACCTACTGCTCCTGGCTGTGACAACTCCGACAAGAGTGCTGACTCTCGTCCAGCGTCTCATGAGGATTTGGAAGAAGTGAGCTGTTCAGCACCTTCTTGGACGGAAGCTTTGAAAAACAAATTGTTGGCCAAAATCAAGGAGAAGGAAGCTGCACAGAAACAAGCCGCTACTGCTCGACCTGTTGCTACTCCAAGCCGCAACAGCCATGAGGTTCCAAAGTTTGTGCTTGACAAGTTGGCTGAGAAGACTCCGGAGGTGGCACCCTTTGTCGCCACAGCTGCAGAGGAGGAACCTGTAGTGAGGGAGCCAGGCAAGGACAAAAAAAAGAAGGCACCAAAGTCCAAGAGCAAAAAAAAGAAGGCTGAGATCACTGGACCTGAGGTCGAAGCAGCTCTGCAACTGGAGGAACCAGTTGCCAATGGGCAAAGCAAGGCTGAGGCTGCGCCAGCTTCGCGAATGGCTGAGGATTCAGGGGAGCTATCTGGTGCCATTCGTTACTCACCAAAAAAGTTCAGTGCTGCCAAGAAGGCATTCATAGTGGACATCAGAGCCAAAGATGGCCTGAACTACCAAGACGCTTTGGCTGCTTGGATGAGAAGTGACCTTCGGTCAGAATATTTGGAGACCGTGCCTGAGAAAGAGCTCAAACGGCGCCGTTTCATGTAGGGACCATGAATCTCTTACCTGTGGAATAGCCACATGTTAAGAGAGAACGAGCTTGACGTCCAAGCTGACAATTTGGGGAAAAATGTTAACCCAAAGTGTTCTTACGTTTGGCTTGGTTCTTGCATGCTGCACTATATATTCCAAAGAGCAAACATCACATGGCTTGACAGTGGCAAATCTTGCTCAATTGGTTTCCGTTTACCTGCCTGCGACAAAATGGTGGTGGCAGAAATGTTGCAATGGAAAGCGCCGGCCATCTTACTTTTGGCAATTCTGCATTTGGTGCACACCCCAGAATTGGAGAGTTCAGAGGCCAGGTTTTTGAGTGCTGCTTTGTACATCCATGGCCTGCTCTGAAGCGCATATACACTAGACAGATGATTGATAGAATGGATGTGCAGTCATCAATTTTGATCTCATAGATTTACTTCTGCATGATCTTGTGACATCCTTGCGCAGGTTTACGATTTTGTGGAATACTTCAGCGGGGCTGCTGTTCTAACAGCTTCGCTCAGACGAGTCCGTGCCCCAAAATTTTCATTTTTTCAGGGGCAGCTGCTTGATCCCTGAGGCTGGCTTCTGTGGCGTCGGCTTGGATTGCAACCTGGACGAGCATGGTACATTTGACTTCTTGACGCCTGCTGGCTTCGTGTTCGGGGCTTAGACTTGTTTAGCCATTGAACGCATCCAAGCTTGCCCACATGTTGACATCTGAGGCTATGTCTGCAGGGTATCAGAAGATCCAAAGAGAATGCCCTACACTTCCTGGGCCTGGCGTGCAATTCGTTTTGTGTGCCGCAGCCAAGCTGACATCTATTTGAATATTTCTGATTGTGAGCACCATCCTTCTGGCAACCCACCGCAATTTGTGAAATCTCAGGTCTTCTGGATCCCATGAACGCTCAATATTGTTTCCTTTAGGAAACAATGGGTACAAGTTCGTCCGTTGTGGCAATGGATTAGCAGCTCGGGTTTGCCTCTTGGCGATCTACTCTCTTGTGAAAAAATGTTGGTTTATCATAGAGCAGCCCCAGGGCTCCTGCGCCCAACTTCACCCGCGGCTTGCTGAGCTGCTTCGGCTCTACGAGATCTTCATGACGGGGATCTGGGGTGGCAAGTATGGAATTGAAGGCACACCTAAACGCCATTGGCTGTACAGCAACAACCGTCCAGTGCTGCAACGCTTGTCAGCGTTGGCTGGCCACATGACCCAAGAAGAATGCCAAACTCTGCAAGGGGGTTCTCTTGTGAAGCGATCCCGCCTGATGGATCATGGGTCTGGTCTGGAGACAAATCAAAGATGACTGCTTCGCAGATGCTTTGCCAAAAGTTGCCAGAACAGTTTCATGAACTATATATATTTATTATATATATATATGTACATATATATTATAGCTCGCTTCATGTTTCTCAAGGAGCAACGTTTACATAATTTATATGACAAAAACTGAGGACTTACCATCAGCGTTTTGGCTGCCATATCGCTGGGTTGCTGCGAGAGTGTTGCGACAGTGCTTCTGAGGCAAGGGTTCTTCTATGAAGAACCTTTCAACTGTTTATTTCAAATTCTGTTGCAGGTTCTTCCAGCGAGCCCCTTCTTGGAAGAGACACGTGGCCTCATGGGCAAATCCGACTATGAATTGTTCAAGGTCTGCAATTTTTTGGCCTTGGTTTTCTCAATCATGCTTTGTCCACGCAGGAGATTGATTGGGCTACTGTGGACACATGGCCTGATGCTGGGCCCTTATCTATGGGTGACTGTTGGTGGTTGGACGCAAACAGTCGTGCTTCCTTGTAAGGGTTGTTCAACATGTGATGGAACTGACTAGGCTGGGATGGTGGAGGTGATTGCTTACCTGCGTGCTTCTTCCTCTTTTAGCCCTGGTGAGCGTTGGGGGCCCTTGTTGTCAAATGCCTTTGACAAAGTCTTGGGGCACCAGTAGCATAGCCATGTGAGTTGCAACTGAGCCACGATGTGAAAAACATACCACCTGGTGCTTGGGAAACTTGTACCCGAGAATTTTCCGAGAATTCGGCGTGAAAGCCCCCCATATCGGCGCTAAAACCCCGTGAAATTTCATGGGTCCTTTTTGTGCCATTTTAAGCAATTGATTTTCTCTTTGTCTCTTGTGTCAGCTTGTTGACGTGCAGCCAGCTTGTTGATGTGCAACAGCATGCTGGTGAACTGCTTCCCTGATGGATTGTGCAGTGCAGAGACTTTTGGCCCTGACATAGCAACTTCGCTTGCGGCCTAGCTCGACTCGATGGATGTGTCCTGTGAAATCATCAGCGGGGTGGTGAATGAGCTTGTGCAGCAAAATGGCGGAAAACCGCCCACACCAGCCCAGCTTGCTGAAGCCATGGGCCTTGAAGTCCCAGAAGCAAAGGAAATTTTGAAGGAGCTGAGAAATGATGGCCTTTTGCCACCTGCGGCAAAGACTTCGAAGGTGATGAAGCGACCTGCAGCGGCTGTCATCCCTGCTGCTGAAGCTTCGCCACCTGCTGAAGCTTCAATGCCTGCTACTCCGGGGAATGACCTGTCTGGCCCAAAGGCTTCGGAAAATAGTGACACCGCCCAGGGGGCTACGGTGCGAAAGGTGCCAAAGCGTCTCCGGCCTTACGTTGCTGAAAAAGCAGTGACCCCAGATGAGATTGAGACACAGGAAGTGGAGGATACAGTTGTGGATGAGGCAGTTGTGGAGTCAACTCAGTCAAGTGGGTCAAAGCCTGATCGGCTTGTGGCCAAAGGCGTTTCGCAGAGGCCAGGACCAACTGCAGACTTCATGCGTTGGTACATTTTTTTCAGTGCTTTCCTCTGTGTCTTGCTATCTGCTTGCAGGTCGATCGGAACTGTGCTGCGGGGCCAAAACCTTTTGCGCGGAGCCTCGAGTGTGAATGTGGCGACCAGTGATGATGAGGTTGAGGACAGCTTCGGGATGGTAATCCATGTCCATGCATGCATCCATACATGTCCATTTGTTCCATGAAAATTCAACATACGATTATTAACACATAACATGCATGCATGGACATGACATGCATGCTGACATGACATACATTAATTATTATATCGGCATTCTTGGTCATGACATGCATGGACATGACATGCATGGACATCGCCTACATGGATTTTCATGCATGGTCACGCGAATGTCCATCCATGTTCTTCAGGTGTTTGCACGTGATCAGCCATGCATGAACCTATGACATGGCATCACCCATGGACATGGCATGCATGAGCATCTGATATGTTTTTGCATGCATTTCTGCATGCATGTTTTGCAGGCATCTTTTTTAAATGCGCAACTTCAGGAACCAGATTGGGCCGAGTGGTATCAGCAGCAGGACCGTCTACCAGATCAGTCACCTGCTCCCACTGAAGTTCCAACACCCAGCCCTTCTCCACCACGTGCTGATGAGCTGGCTGTTCCGGAGATGGCTCCGCCTCCCCAGAATGATAGCATGGCCCCACATGCTACGCTGAAGGTCACGTCCACCACTCACCGGCGTGAGTTCATGGCGCTGGGAAGGGTGGCTAATGGCCCTCGAGCTCTCGAGTTTCCCGAAGTGGCACGAATGTTCAATGGAACCAAGGTTGAACAGAGGAAGGTTTTGGCCGCCTATGTTCAGTCAGGTGAAAACTTGGCAGCAATTGAGGCCAACTTCAAGCATGTTCGAACGCACTCAGAGAAGTATACGGCCAACAGGAAGTTGATGACGGTGAAGGACATGCGCGATGCAGGGTTTTCGGAGTATATTGTCTGCATTGTTTGCATGCTGTGGATGCATTGATGATTTTGTATTCAACTTCTCATGTTTTGAATCTTCTCTTGCTTCCAAGGGCCAAAATTCTTGGCTGTATGGCCCGTGGCGGGATTGCCGACCCCGACGCCCCGAATTGCCAAGAATCTACGAAGTACTGGGCTACAACGACAACAGAACATAAGATTGTGGATGACGATACATCGAGTGTTGCGATGTCCAGCAACATTAACCCACAGCATGCGCTGCAAGCCTTCAACGCGCCTCTTGCCCTTGGTGTCTCTCCGACTGTAGCCGTGGCAGACCCAGCAGCTTTGGTGCGGCAGATTGCTTCGAGGGCTCCAACTGCTGTGACTCCGCAAGCTGCACTCCCAGAGCCTGTGGCATCCGCGCGAAGCATGGCTTAATGTGCTAGCGCTGCGACTTCATATAGTGATCCTTTTTTATCCTTTTAAAAGTTTGGTCTTTGCCTTCAACTATTAAGGAGCAAAGGCGAAAGGCAAAGCGAAGGCAAAGGCGGCCGCTCGGGTGCCTGGAGGAGGCCTCACCGATGTCGCTCTGGCCGGAAAAACGGTTCCGGAGAAGTGCGCGATGGCACGCAGGGGCCTCAGCGATTTGTTGGATAAATTCAATTTTACTTCTTTTCTGTGCTGCGTGCAAATATTTTGCAGGTGGGGAGATCAAGAAGGAACTTTCTGCCCTGGGCTCTTTGAAGCTGGAGCTCCCTGACTTGGCCACTCGCTATGGACGGTATGATGAAGCTATGCAGCAAATTGATAACCTTGTCAAGGACCTCACGACGCACTTTGGCAGGCTTGCAAAAACGTCCAATATTCTTAAGCGCAGTGAGTTTGAATGTATGTTTGGCTGCTAGTGCAAGGCTGCCTGAAGTGACAGATGAAGACAGCTTTGCGAATTTGCGTTCCCAAATTTCTGGGCTGGCCAGTGCCTCAAAATTTTGGTACATGGTTGGCTTGTGTATTTCGGAACACATATTTGTTTGCTTTTGCCACTTAAGGTGGCAGATGCACGCATGAAGCGAGCCGAGCTACAAGCGGTGATTAAGGAGTTCAGAAAGTGCCCCTGCCTCATTTGTGTGATTTTCCAAGAGCATGTGTATTGTTTCGAATTTGATCGCCAGGGGCTACGGTGCCCCTTGAATGGTGGCCTGATTCAAGACCATGCAAAGCATGGCCGGTTTTGACGGATCTGATTCAGAAAGATGGTTCACATCTGAGCATGGCGCTGGAAGCACGGCTTGAGGAAAAAAGGTTGCAAACGCCATCTTTTCTCGCGCATTTTTGCATTGTTTTGTCCATGTCCACGGGCGTATTCAAACTTCAGTGATTAGAGGTACCGCTTTCAAGAGGTCTTTGGATAAACAGCAGTGGCCCCAGCAAGCCCGCATCATCCAAATGCCTGTTTGGCCATTTCGGATTTGCAGGCTTATAAGTATTCCTTGTAATTCAGGTTAGCGGCTGAAGTGGGCCTGGGTACAGCATCCCTGGCGACAGTAAATCGCATTGGGAATGCCTATTCTTCGGAAGTTTTTTCGTGCTGGCCTCAAAACTGCACACTATTTGGGTTTGAGATATGTCGTACTTGCGTGGTCAGGTTGCAGAGAAGGGAGGATGCTAGAGCTCACCGCAAATTGGTTCGTGCTGACTTAGCTTTTGCAAATCTCATTACCCACCACTATATTCCAGTGAAGCTGGAAGAGGGTGGCATGGAGCTGCAAGCTTGGCCTTTCATCCTACCTGAATCAATGGACACGGCCTCAGTGATTCAGTCTGAAACGTGCATTGTTTCGATTTGCCGTTTATGTTCCATGGCATTCATTCATGCTGCATGCATTGGTGAGTTTAGGTGAAGTGCTTATTGCAGATGGGCCACAGGAATTTGTTGGGCCATGCAACAGAGGAGTACTGGCAGGTTTTACATCAACATTTTTCCATCGCTCGACCTGATGACTGCACAGACTGCATTCCAATCAGTGTGTTTGGCGACGAAGTAGAAGTCTTTGATGGTCTGCAATATGCCTGCGTCAATTGGTCTTCAGATGTGGCCCTGCACCATTCCGACGCCATGATATCAAAATTCTTGTGTGTCATGATTCCGACAACAGCTTACTACTTCCGTGGCAAAACAAATTTGACTCTGCAGGAAGCTATGAAAGTGATTGTTCGCTCCTTGAACCGCTTGTACCATCAAGGTCCATTGCGCTTGGTGGTTTGTGCGCTGAAAGGTGACTGGAAATGGATGGGGCAAATTTTGAATGCAAGAAATGGCCCTTCTTCGAATTCTATTTGTTACAAATGTGCTGCAACAAAGAACTTGGATGCCCCCTTGACGGACTTAGCAGCAACTGCGGTTTGGAGGAGCTCACCATTGCAAGGTGATCAGGTTTGGTGGGAAGTTCCAGCTATAGCAGAGCTCGTTGGATTTGGTATGCAACTTTTTTGCCCAGACATCCTGCATACATACCATCTTGGTATTGGAAGAGATGTAGTGGCCAGCATATTGGTTCTTTTGCTGAAAATTGGATGCTTTCCTGGCCGTGACGTTCTCTAGCAGCACTATGACGGGATCTCAGGGTGATTTTCATGGACGCATGCATGACCATGCCAATTTCATACAGTCATGTGGGACACAACATGCATGACATGACATGTAGACCATGGACCATGGGCGAATTTGCTCACGCATGTGAAGCATGACACGAACCGTCATGGCATGGCATGAGAACCCATGCATGAGAACCCATGCATGCATGTCCTCAGCCATATTTACATGATATGTAAATCAATATATAATATATCACATTGTATATTATATATACATATTTTATATTATTACATCTATTTATATATACACATATCAAATTAAATCAATACACCTCTCTCTCTCTCTCTTTCTTTCTTACTTTCTTTCTTTCGTTCCTTTGTTTGTTTCTCTCTCTCTCTCTCTCGCTCTCTCTCTCTCTCTCTCTCCCTCCCCCCCTCTCTCTTGCCACGCCGTTACAGGTTAAAGCGAGGATGTTGAGGGCGAGTCTGGAGATCAAGGCATGGTGCAAGGAGCACTCGAAATATCGGCTGCCAAGCAGATGGCACTTGTCAAAGACGAGGCTGAGCTTGAAACGGGGAAAGTTTGTGCACTACGTGGGAAAAGGGTGGCACGTATCAGTCATTCTTGGCTTTTTGCGTGACTTCATGGAAAACCTCAACGTAGACTCGGACCTCAAGATGCTAGTCTGGTCTGGTGATGAGCTTATGTCTTTCCTCCACGCTGAAAGGCAGAATAGAGGCCTTCTTTTGACAGAGGCTGGTATTCATCAAGTGACAGTTCTGGGAGATTTTCACCTGAAGATGCTTTTGGTTGCAAGCCAGAAGCACACCGGCTTCCCCACCTACAGGTTATTCAACATCAGACCGAAGTTCCATGGCATGTCCCATATTTTGGACTTTGCATCAACTGGACGCAATCCGGTCACTCAATCATGCTGGATGGAAGAGGATTGGGTACGCAAAGTTGCGAATCTAGCGAAGCGTACCCACGCAAGGAAAACAAAACTGAGTACCCTTCAGCGGTATTCTGCAGGAGTGGCATTTGAATTTGGTATGCGCTAGCTTTGTACTTTGCTGTGCTTGACACCCTGCATATTGGCAGGATTAAAATTTTGCGTGGAACAGAAGCAGGTGCACATGTTTGGCGATTCTTTTGCCAAAAGATTGATGATTTGCAATGCTTTGCCATGTGCTGTCCCAGTTTCTATTACGCCTATGCATGCCAGGCAGAGATGGTGATGGGGAGACCCTAGTGACTAAACATAGCCTGGGGAATTGTCGTGCGTCCGAGTTGCTTGCAAAAAGCGATCAGCTGCCAAACTTTCTTGGCCAGTGTCACATGGAACACATGTTACGTTTTAGTGTGTTTTACGTCAAGTGCTTTGTTGGACCAATATTTCTTTTGCAAAAAGCATGTTTTTGAGCTATCTGCCTCATTTTGGGGATTTGGCATGTTCCCACTGCTTCAAATCTAAGGGGCTATCATGTTGATAGGGGGTTTTCAAGTTGATACGGGGAAATAGGAGGGTTTTAAGGTAGAAATGTGCCTCTGGGATTGTATGTAGATTGACTAGCCGTCGATCATGTATCACAGACAGAGAGAGAGAGAGAGAGATGGTGTACCATGGCCTTGCCATCAGCCACGGTACATCTATTGTCACTTCCTCCCAATTGAATCTATGATAACCTTCGGCCTGTAACCCCGGTTCCCCCCGATCTCTTGTTGTGGGCAGATAGGCCTCTCTCTGGACGGATGGACTTTTCTAAGTAAAAGAAAAGCAAAAACTATTTTCTGTTGCTTCTTCAAAGTGATCCCCTTTGAGAAGGTCCATTGACCTTTTTTGGGATTGATCGAGTGGCCTCAAATTGATGGTTGACGAGGTCATTTTGAAGAAGCAAGTAACTAGCTATTTGCTGGAGAAGAACATCACGGCGATCACCAAGGTCATCACAGATGTGTGAAGAAAAGGGTGAGCAAGGAGAACAACAGCTACCTTGCTGTTTTGAAGCCAGGAGAAACACCTCGCCACTGCCCAGGCGAAACAGATGGACGCGTTACAGTGGCTGGCGGTGGTGTCATGTGGTTCCCACCTATCAGCAGACAAACTCAACATGTACACACACGAGACGTGTGACTGGCTATCTGCCTGCGAGGGTATCCACCTCCGTCCAAAACGCGACGGACGACCAGGTTGTCCTCGTGCGCGCTTTGGTTCAGCTGCTGCAAGCAGTAATCGCGTCAAGCTGTTGCAGGACAATCTCGGGACTGACAAAAGTTTTAGTTAGGCTCGCCATGACATTACACACTTGGTCACGTATTGTGATGCGGTGCATATCGTCGAATCATTGTCTCACAGCTATGGAATATTTCGATTTGACAACCTTAGCGATTTGCTTACACTGTTCAAATATATATATATATATATTATATATATATATATTATATGTAACTATTGCCCGTTCCTATTACAATATTCTCAGGGGCTAGCGGCTAGGATGGTTCCCCCACCTTGGCGGGGGGCAGGTCGGTTCGTCGCCTGACTCAGCACCTCCGTGAGCAACTACTCCAAGGCAGGCTCTTGCCTCTGGGCTGCAGCTCCAGTTCCGGGAGTTTTGACGATGAGTTTTTTTTTAAGAAATTGGACGAACCGATGTGAACTGATGTTTGTTCCGCAGCAGTCAGTCGGAGACATCATCATCATCATCATCATGATCATGATCATGATCATCATCATCATCATGTGCCAGCGATGTTTACCAGCCACAGGGCATGCAGAAAGAATTCACAAAATGTGCGGCTGCGCTCGAAAGAGTGCAGAACATTACTTTGGTCAGCGAAAGTATGGTGAGCACACCATCGTTTTGATAAGGAGCCAAAGCCTGGTTCGGTCAACAGCAGAGAAACACAACACAAGCGCCAGAATGCATAACGCAAGCGCCTTAGGAGCCAAGGTCTTGGGTTGCGAGGTGCTGGCCTGAGGTTGTTTTGAATGTGTGTTAAACATAACATTGTGTGTAACATAATAATTGACGTGTGGGGTTTTTGTTTTTAGTTCTGTATCCGCTCCTCCTCCTCGTCCTCCTTCCTTCCCGTCCTCCCTCCCTCCCTCCATCACTCACACTCACTCACTCACTCACTCACTCACTCACTCACTCACAACTCACTCACTCACTCACTCACTCACTCACTCACTCACACTCACTCACACTCACTCACTCACTCACTCACTCACTCACTCACTCACTCACTCACTCACTCACTCACTCACTCACTCACTACACTCACTCACTCACTCACTCACTCACTCACTCACTACACTCACTCACTCACTCACTCACTCACTCACTCACTACACTCACTCACTCACTCACTCACTCACTCACTCACTCACTCACTCACTCACTCACTCACTCACTCACTCACTCACTCACTCACTCACTCACTCACTCTCAACTCTCACTCACTCACTCTCAACTCTCACTCACTCACTCTCAACTCTCACTCACTCACTCACTCACTCTCAACTCTCACTCACTCACTCACTCACTCACTCACTCACTCACTCACTCACTCACCCACCCACTCACTCACTCACTCACTCACTCACTCTCACTCACTCTCACTCACTCACTCACTCACTCACTCACTCTCACTCACTCACTCACTCACTCACTCACTCACTCACTCACTCACTCACTCACTCACTCACTCACTCACTCACTCACCTCACACACACTCACTCACTCACCTCACACACACTCACTCACTCACTCACTCACACACACTCACTCACACTCACACTCACTCACACACACTCACTCACTCACTCACACACTCACTCACTCACCTCACACTCACACTCACTCACACACTCACTCACTCACTCACTCACTCCTCACTCACTCACTCACTCACTCACTCACTCACTCACTCACTCACTCACTCACTCACTCACTCACTCACTCACTCACTCACTCCACTCACTCACTCACTTCCTCACTCCCTCACTCCCTCACTCCCTCCACTCCCTCCACTCCCTCCACTCACTCCACTCACTCCACTCACTCCACTCACTCCACTCACTCCACTCACTCCACTCACTCCACTCACTCCACTCACTCCACTCACTCCACTCACTCCACTCACTCCACTCACTCCACTCACTCCACTCACTCCGCTCACTCCACTCACTCCACTCACTCCACTCACTCCACTCACTCCACTCACTCCACTCACTCCACTCACTCCACTCCACTCACTCCACTCACTCCACTCCACTCACTCCACTCACTCCACTCCACTCACTCCACTCACTCCACTCACCTCACTCCACTCACTCCACTCACCTCACTCCACTCACTCCACTCACCTCACTCCACTCACTCCACTCACCTCACTCCACTCACTCCACTCACCTCACTCCACTCACTCCACTCACTCCACTCACTCCACTCACCTCACTCCACTCACTCCACTCACCTCACTCCACTCACTCCACTCACCTCACTCCACTCACTCCACTCAC